TTCCCATTGAACAACAGCGGGATCTATGTCTAACTCCTTTTGGTATTTTTAAAATGCATAATAAGACTATGGAACTCATTACCACAAGGAAGCTGCTGAGGTGAAGAATTGAATAAGATTCAAGCTGAGATCAGAGGTTTATACAGACAACAAAAATATCCAGAGTTAGAACAGGTGATGCAGCAACAAGAAAAATAAAAGAATATAAAAAGTGCTATAAAACCTTGCATTGTTTAAATTGGTTTCTGGTCATATTAAACAGTCTTAATATACAGGATATTATTTGACATCTGTCTATGATGAGGTTCTTATGCCTTCTCTGAAAAAGCTGGTATTGACTGGGGATTGCTCTGTCAGGCCTTCAGTCAGTGCAGACGTAGTTAGGGATCTTCTGGAAGGGCTAGACATTTTTAAATCTGCAGGTCCAGATGCCCTCCACTCAAGGGTGATGAGGGAGCTGACAGGGGTCATCGCGGACCCCTTGGCCCAGCTGTATGAGCATTCATGCCGGGGGATTGGAAACTGGGTAATGTGGTCCCAATTTTCAAGAAAGGGAGGAAGTAGGACCCAAGTAACTATAGGCCTGTAAGCCTCACCTCGATGCTCAGGAAGATCTTGGAGAGAATCATCAAGGAGCACATCTGTGGGGGCCAGCAGGGGAGATCATGCTCAGGGGCAATCAGCACGGGTTCATCAAAGGCAGGTCTTGCCTGACCAACCTGATTGCCTTTTATGACCAAGTAACTAAATCCTTGGATGATGGTGTCGCCGTAGACATAGTCTTTCTAGAATTTAAGGTGGCCTTTGACACTGTCTCTCACCCCTTCCTCATCAATAAATTAAATGACTGTGTCATTGATGCCTACACAGTTGGATGGGTAAAAAATTGGCTGATGGGGTGCACCCAGAGAGTAGTGCTGGACAAGTTGTACTCAACCTGGCAAGATGTGAGCAGTGAGCAGTACCCCAGGGCTTGGTCCTTGGGCCCGCACTGTTTAACATCTTCATCAGCGACTTGGACGAGAGGGTGGAAAGCACGCTGTCCAAGTTTGGTGATGACACTAAGATGTGGGGTGAGGTGGGCACACTTGAAGGGAGAGAGGGGCTGCAAAAAGACTTAGACAGACTACAAAAGTGGGCAGACAAGAATAGGATGGGGTTCAACGTAGACAAATGCAGGGGGCTGCAGCTTGGGAGAAGGAATCCACAGCATACATACAGGCTGGGG